GAATAAGTATTTCCGAGCGGAGTTATTAAAGAAGTCATAAGGGCGGGGGGTTAATGAGGTTCACGAGTCGAAACGTCTCGAGCCGGTACGTTCCGGGGAGCAATGGATCGGCTTCGATAAAGTGGAATTTCGTGAAATCAAAATTACGTGCGGCTCAGGTTGAGATTGCCGCTCGAGCCCGCCTCGAATTTGCATTCCGATAGAGAGCGTTTCTTGCGGGCTTCGTGAGACTGACCACGGCAAAACCCAAGGAATTATCGCGGCGCCGGCGTCGTATTGTGCCGCAATCGAGCTTTAAGCTCTCGACGATCGATCAGCCGTTCTTGAAAAGCTTTCTTGTTACGTCGTACCTCCGCTTTCGACCCCCATTGCATTCCGATTGGACAAATTAGCCGATTCCTCCTTTTCTGTGTCTTTTCCGTCCGGATTGAATCACAAGCACGTTACTTAAACTTGAAATCCGTATCAGATTCTCGAACCCATCGGTTTTCAATCATTCAATCCTCGATGACTGAACTTAAATCAGTGTTACTGTGTAACTAAACTTTTGCCTCGCTGATTATGAGTTAACCAGTTAACTGTGTTCGTCGAGTATACACGTCATCTTGAAACTCTTAATGCTGCTAACTTTCTCAACGATGGATTATTCATTTTTTCAGACAAACATGTAATTCTTCGTTTCGCTTTAGTTTCTCGTTAGGATATGTTTTAAGTGCATTTGGCCTGCATTTAATGAGTGTACACTTCATTATTTGATTTTATTGCGCGCATAATGAGAGATTTTTCAAATTAATTCCACGCTTAACTGGTCAAAGACTTGTTTATTCTTATATTTCGTTGATTTATTTCAAGTAGTGTAATTTAAGAGATATATTACTAGATTTTAATTAGAAGATTAACATTTATAGTCTTGGTAGATATTAGCGGCGGAAGTCGATAGACTATTCAGACGAATGTTTAGTTATCTAGGTTTAACATAGATCAATAATACATTTATCGATTCTTCTCCAATATTCAAATCCCCAACGAGGTCAGTTTCTAATTCTATCGAGTTCCAATTATTCCAAGTAGACCCGCGGTGTATCGATAGCATTATCGAATTCCTATTGCCCTAATTCGGCGGCTGATCAATTTATAATGGCGCCGCGTTCGAACGAATCAATGGGCCAGTCCATTATATCAATTTCAGTCGAATTCGATCGAGTTTGAACCGTCGCGAACAGGGTTAAAGTATGTATATATAATTTCTATCTGTATAAAATCAATTGTACCGATTTAGTTATGGAATATTAAACCGTCGCGCGTCGTCCGTGTGATTTCGGATATAAAGAGCGGTCTCTCAGCTTTTCGGTGTCAAATTTATTGTCCCCGCGTTGACACAATGCCCCTCTAATCGCGGTCTGCCAGCGAAACTGTATGGAACGAACGTGTCATTACGCGTTCCCATGATGCGGGATAACAAACGCGAATTATACGCGCAGGCCGCGATGCATAATCTTTAAATCGTTCGTTCGCGGCGAGACGAGGCGAATAAATAAAACGACGAAATGAAAGGGCAACGTTATCGCGGACCGGCACGTTGTAAATAACTAGGCCCGCGTAAACTTTCGTTAAGTTACCGCCCGATAGGGAGGCGGCTCGGTTCACTCCCTGGCTCGATTTTCAATTAACGTACAGAGATTTCCGCGCGAAACCGCTGCACGCGGACACGCCTTCCGCGCGGAGAATGGCCGCTGGGTGTGTCGCCTTTAATCAACCGCTCCAAACATCTTTGTCGCGTTTCGGCCTCGATTCGCGTGAACTACCGGTCGCACGGAATCCGTACTGCTCGGAGGTTCGAAAAGAAGGAATTGTAATTCTTTTAAGTGCTCTATGAGATTTGGGAATTGTCGGGTTCTGATGCAGGAAGTTATGATTCTTTGAAACGTGGAAATTCTAACGGGTGGCAACGTAAGGAATTGAAACTATAACAGCTTGCAACGTAAGAAATTAAAACTGTAATAGTTTGCAACGTAAGGAATTGCAATTCTTTTAAGCGTATGCTCTCTGAAATTTGGAAATTGTCGAGTTCTGATGCAGGTAGTTATAATTCTCTGAAATGTGGGAACTGTAACGGGTTGCAACGCAAGGAATTAAAACTGTAACAGCTTGCAACACAAGAAATAAAAATCATAACAGCTTGCAACGTAAGGAATTGCAATTCTTTTCAGTGTATGCTCTCTGAAATTTGAAAATTGTCAAGTTCTAATACAGGAAGTTATAATTCTCTGAAACATGGATATTGTAACAGCTTGCAACGCAAGAAATTAGAAAACTCCAACACGTTGCTTCACAAAATCAATTCTCCGAAACATGAAAACCCAATTCCTCCTAAAACCCTAAAAATTCTAATTCCTGCACCCCTATCCTCTCAATAACGTGAAACAAACGGTTCTCCAACCCGAATCACCTCGAACTCTCGCGAGTCTCGGCAACCGAGCTCCCTCCGAGCAAGTTCCCAATAAAAGCAGCATCCCTATTTTTACAAATTCAGCCGGCAGTCTCGCCTAGAATGCTCCGCTCGCATTGCGAGCTGATAATCGCGAGCCGTAGGGCGGCGTCGCAATTTTTTCCGATGGGGATCGCGGCCGAAATGTTAGGGCGGCCGATTGAAATGCAAATCGAAGCGGCCGAAGGTTATTTCGTTGTACACGGGGCCGTGACGCGCCTCCAAATTCGATCCGCCCCCCTTTCCTCTCCCATGGGTGTCCCGTGCCGCAAACAACCGAACTCGTTGGGGGGAAAAAAAATCTCGCTGTCAAACCGGCGGCGGCGGCGGCCGCCGTCGACGTCCACCGCGTCGCGCCGTTCGGCCGTGGCTGAACGCTTTGCGGTTGCCGCACGATGGCTCCCGCCCATGCTGGTACCCTGATTTGCGGCCGATTCTTTCTCGAATTTATAACGCCTAGGCACGTTGAACCTTTGCGGTGGACGGGGATGATGATTGTCTTCGGGTCCGGGGGATTATTCTGCGGCGATCGCGCTGCGAGCCATGGCGGCCCGGTCTTCTGTTTGACGAGCGGTGTGTGGAATTTGCTTCGAAGTGTCTTGCACAGAGAATTCTGACAGTTCTGCGGGATTCCGGTTGATGATTTAAAGCGGACACGGAATTAGGAACTGTTCCAGCGATCTGATAATAGAAATTGCAATCCAATGGTATCGAATATTAAAGCTTCACGAGGTTTATTCGTTTAACACGTTAAGCGCCACGGAAATCTTAAGCGCTTTCCTGTAGAGTTTTTCTTTTGTAGCACAGAAAAGCAGGAACAATTATTAATTTGACGTTACAATGTTCGCATTACACTATTATCAACCTAGTTACGTTATTAAACACTTTCATTTCACATCGGTTATCTTGTTACGATTGTTTCCTAGTCATTTAGAAGCCACCAATGACTGACATGGCGCTTAACGTTAAACGTGTTCATTTGAATAATCAGTAAAGCTTTGATTTAACTATGCTTTAAATATCCACGGTACATTTAGAAATATCTAGGATTATTATAGTATCGAAAGACATAAAATAGCGAAATTGATATTTGATATCCACAGTACGTTTAGAAATATCTAGGATTATTATAGCATCGAAAAACATGAAATGGTAAGGGTGAAATCGATATTTGGAAATAGTTTCAAAATATTCGAAATGCAATACAAGTTAGGAACCGACGGGGGCCGTCGTTCTAACGGGTGTCACGGAGCGTGAGGATGATTTAGATGCGAGGAGCTCGCGAGAGAAGGGGCTGCGAGGGGTTGCCGAGCGCGTGCCCCTCGGAGGAGGACGGAAGACAGATCAGAAAAGTTTCGCGAGCCAATCACGGGACGCGGATACCGGGCCTGCCGATAAAAATGACAAAGTCTCCGAAGTTTTCTGTTCCGCCGCCCTCCCCGGCCGAGCCCCGGTTCCTTCTGAATTCGCAGACGTATTTCTAGCCGAGCGATCGCGGGTTTATCGATTGCAGGGTCAACACACGGACGCCCGAACTTTCCGCGGGCTAGGGCCGATACCGTCGATGAATATTCGATGGTCGGTTATTTGAGTTGGACACCAGCTGCATTAGTATACGGGGGTGGGAAATTAGTCGGCGGTAAGTGTGCGCGCGCGTGTCTCCGTGTGTGTGTCTTTCGTGAGACCCCGATGGACCGGGTTCACTTTGGATCAGATGCGCTGAGAGCCGATACCGGAAACGGTTCTCGTGGATTTTCAATTTTACGTGGAATATTCAAAGCTAAGTTTATGTCAATCTGTGGAAATAAATATAAAGCGAACCTAGATGCATCGGGAAGTTGAATGGAGGATATTAAGATAGACTTACCTTCGTTATTCGACTACGTAAAGCTATTTTCTGCGTTACGATCGTTCGCCGATGTTTCGAGTAGCATCGGCTTCTATCGATTTAGAGCTTCTATAGAATTTTTAAGGAAATTTAAAAATTGAATTTTAAAATTAATTCGAAGAAGTTTGTGAAATAGATGAATAGTATCTGTATCGTAAGATAGGATGAATAGCTAGATTCTATAGAAGCTCGATAGAAGTGTTAAATATTCTATAGAATTTTTTATTCTATTTTTATTCTTTTTACGAAAATTTAAAAATTCTATAGAATTTTTAAAACTTCTATCGAGCTTCTATAGGATCTAGCTATTCATATCTTGCGATACAGATGCTCTACTTCTTCAAAGTATTCTATACATCTATTTTAGAAGCTTCTTCGGATTAATCTCCAAGTTCGCTTCAGCCGACATCGTTGAAACAAACTTCGTGAGACTTCCGGCAGATACGCTACGTTACTGAAATAAAAGAAGCATCTAAACTCTTATTTCAATATTACACATTTTCTATATATTCCTCGATAGACGTACAGTAGGACGAACACCGAAGTCCATTCGGATTACCTGCAAAGTGAAAGGTGTCAAGGGTGCACTGACGAACTCGCACAGTTTTTCTAACCGCTCTCATTTATTTGGTAACTCATAGATATACACGTTAACGTCTCTTAAACCTAGAGAAAATGGAAACGTAAGAGGACTGCGTGTGTCCCGTAAACCCGGGCAAAAAACGGGCGCGTCCGCCGAGCCGCGGACGTCCTAAATCATTAGAAAAATACACAGCTTACGCGCAAATCCTTTCAACTGAATCGTCGATGTTCCGAACTTATCTCGCGCTTAATGACGTTGCTCTTCGTTCCCCTAGGCGTGTGTGAAATGTTAATGCTCCCCGGTACGTGGCCGTGTCTCTCCGTGTGTCCCTCCATGTAGGATCCAGTGTGTGCCTGTATGTGTACGTGTGTGTGCGTGAATGCGCGTGACGCGCGGCCCAGCGCCGCGTTCCTTTCGCGGCCGCTCTCTGCCGATTAAATCGCGCGGAAGCGTTAAATTAATTCGTCCCGACGTGTCCGCTCATTTACAGGTTTTTCTACTTTGCGACCTCTGCCCCCGAAAACCCTGGCCCGGGAAACATCTCCGCCCACGCCCTCGGTTCAGCTCCGAACGGACAGCCTCTTCCCCTCGCGGCGATTCGTTGGATTTTTCGATTAACGCGTCGGCGAACTCCCAATTTCCCCCGGAGCGAATTCATTATTTCCTCGCTTCGGCGAGTAATTCTCCTTTCATTCCGCCCGTCCGCGTCTTCCCTCGATCGAGAACGATACACGCGAAGGAATCCCCGCGCATCGACGCGTCAACCGATGCGTCCTCGTGCTCCCGTCGGATCGGTCCGGCGGACACTTCGTTAAATATTTCCACGCGACGATCCCGTGTCTTCGAGAAGCAACCTCGCCGGCTCTCGATTTTAATCGTCCTTCCGCCTCTCGGGGATCGATGCCCGAACCTCCCGAAAAAAAACAAACAAGAGAAACGCGAAGAAAGGAGGAATGGAAAAAAGGAGAGAAATCCTATACAAATCAACGTTCGACGACGGAGAGTCTCGTTGGGGATCCTAGAGGATCCTCGAAACGGCTCGCGCGGGGCGCAAGGAACGAGGAGAGTCGTTCGGCCGCGGAGACCGGCAAACGATCGAGCTTCAGTCGACGTTGTTCGCGGCGACTCCGGGAGCAGGCGGTCTATGTACAGAAATAACGAGGCCGATCCGAGGACTCCCTCCGCTGCGGCGGTTCCTATTCGGCGGCCGCGGGGAGGAATCGGCGCCGGGAGGCGACCGATGGACACAATGAACAATGGTACACGTGGCTTCGTTGATATGTTCTACTTAATGTCGAAATCTTATTATTGTACGGCCGCTCTGGTAACACTCAACAATTCGCGGTTAAAGGGGATCCGACGGGAAGAGTGCTATCCGGTGGCGATCGGGCTGCCCTCCGGACACCATCCGCCTCACCCCTCCGTCCTCACTCTATCACTCACACTCTTTCTCTCTGTCTTTCTCTCTATCTTTCTTTCTCTCTCTCTCTCTCTCTTTCTCTCCCTTTCTCTCGTCGGATTTATACAGATGATGAAAGGAAATTTCCCTCACTCTTACACGGACAATCATCGCTTTGATATAACTTCTTCGTGGCTCCGGGCTGCAGCGAGTAGCCTCGTAATGCGAATAAATCTTTTGGCCCGGCCCGATATCCCTCCCTCTTCCTTTAGTTCTCGCTCGCGAGGATGATTCTCTATTTTGCGGGGGTAACTCGCGGCGAGATTGGATTCCTGGTTTCTTTACAATCTTCGCGACACTTCGCCCCCGGCGATGGGCATGGTTTCGTATGAAGGTGATCGGTCGAGGCGGTTTTCCTGGGTTCCGGAGGACTCGAGGGAGAGACGTTTCCTTCCTCGCGAGAGAGCCACTGCGCTCTCCGCGAGAGAGCGACAGATTTTGCTTTACTTTCTTTCGAATAGCCCTCTCGCGGAGTCGACGTTCTGAATCCTCCGCGCCCCAGAGTGCAACGCTGTCTCGTCTACGTGAGAATTTCGGGATCTTCGTCTAAGGAGCGAGCTGCCTATCACTGTGAAGAGTATCCTGATTCACAGTGAAGCTCGAGGAAGATTATGTTTTATTTACAAGTCGCGTGGGATGATGACTTAGGAATGCAAGCTTTCCCGACCTGGCAGGATCGTCGAATTCCCTGCCAGTCGGGCGGAGCCTTGTCTTCCTCCAGGAATCACGGTTCTGCGAGCGGACACAGTGTAAATGGAAGAATAATCGTAGGAGCTGTCATCAGGGAAATCAATGAAATTATGTATCGAATGTATCTGTTCGATGAGCACATCGGTGCGATATTGTTTCCGTGGATATGATCATAGGAACTTGTTCTCACAAACCTGCTCTCCCAGTTTCGAGAAGGAACGAGGATGAAGAGGCCTGAAGGAGTTAGGTGTCCCGGACATCATGGAAGCGACCAACGGAAGATCAGCCACTATAATCAGCCACTCTGCCGCGAGTTACTCGAGGAGGGAGGGCGATCGAGCCCGGAGTCCAAGCTACCAGTATACACATCGACGTTTCTTGGCATCTTACACTTACTCGCGTTTAAGAATACGAATCGTATAAAACAACTATTAACGTCCGGCCCGTTCGCTCCGGCTGACGAGGCGCGAGAGGATCGAGCTCCCCTCGCGGCCCCTCTCGAAACCACTCCGCTGGTAGACGACGGCCCCGACGGAAGGATCCGCGCGATCATTATCGTCCGCCGGATGGCTCCAGGACTCGGCCAGCTGGTCTCGGAACTTTCTCCGTCCGATTCGGGCTGATCCCGGAGCTGCATCCTTTTCCTCGGCCCGGGCGAACGGAGAGCCCGAAAAGCTCGCGGCGTAATCACTTCGCCCGGGCGGCAGCATCGATAGCGGCGGTATCGGAAATAATTCACGACGTTTTCATCCCCGAACATCGGAACGCGTCAGCCCGGGAAGTCCCTTCGATCGGAAACTTCGTGCGGCTCGTTCGCCAGGGACCAAGAACAACTCCCATCCCCTTCGCGATCCTCTGAACTTCGTAGTTAGCTCCCCGTGTCCTCTCCCTTTCACCTTTAAACTTGTTCACCTTTCCCGAACGATTAGCGGGGAGAGTTCCCGATGGATTAAAGGGGACGAAGCCAGCGCCGCGAGGCTCGCGGAGTGGAATTCAAGAGCCAACGGGCAACGCACGGTTGGACAGTAACTGATTAGCTTCTTTTCTAGTCGGCCGCGCGCCCTGTTTCTCGTCCAGGATCGTCACCTGGAGTCGGGCGCCCGGTCTCTCGCCCCGCGTCCCTTCCGTTACTCATACTTAGCGTTAGGTAGTATAGTTTTAATTGGTTACTTAGGCGCGTTGATTAGTTACGACTGTTTTTCCCCCGTTCGAGCACGGACCAGGTGGTCCAGCTGTAGGGTGTGTACTTTCCTTTCGATAATCGCGCGCGTTTGGATGGCTTCGTGTCGACGGTCCTTAGAGTCTGGATCGTCGACGTTGATCGCCCGGGTATACTTTCTTTCGATCTCTGTTTGTCGTTCTTTCGTTAGCTTCGGAAAGAGTCTTTTTTTCTCTCCTCTGCTGCTGCTGCTGCTGCTGCTGCTGTTGTGTGTCGGTTCACGCTCGCGCTAGCGTTACGATCGTCCCACGATCGACCCACTCGAACATCAACTTTCGGAGAAACTGGTTGGAAAGCTGCAGGAGCCGTGGATCACACCGGAGTTTAGAGTCCATCCCGGTGGAACTTTACTCGCTCCTCTCGTCCGCTGAAGTCTCTGCGTTTTCCTCTTTCTGTCGTGCCTGGCTCGCCCTCGGTCTGTCTCTCTGTCGCCTCTCTCCCTCGTTTCAACCGATTTATGGAGTTCAGTGGAGGAAGACGCTGGTGACGGACCTGGTGGTGTGCGGCGGCAGGTCGGGGGCCTCCGACGGGGCCCCCTCGTACCCCTATGCGCTCAGCCCAAGCCGGTGGATCTTCGCAGACAGGAAGTTGTGCAGGACGAACACGATCGGCTTTGGACAGCTCTCGAGGTCCAGCTCCTGGAAATTTTAGTGCCGTCGTTATTCATGCACCATTTTCACTTTACTATCATTTAGTGGATGTTACGAATATATGCGCTGTTTATTTTGAAAGTGGCTTGAGTCCATTTTTCAAGAAAACCAAGTTAATGTAATGCTTACGATTCTGAATAATCTTTTCATTTCTCAACGGGTTTTTGATGTTTTTCAAGTGGAGTTCAGCCACTTTCGAAATAAACCATATTAACCCATTGGCTACTGTTGGCGCTCGAACATTTTGCTTTCGGTGGACATTAAATTTTATTCACAATAATTGCAGCGAAGTATGATCCAACAATTACATCTTCTGTTAGTCATATATTACATAACTCTGATTATCTTAGTTTCCTCTAGTTCAATTCAGTGTTTTCATGGTTTCAGTACACTTTCTTACAAACACGACACTACATTCGTAGCCAAAGGGTTCAATGTAATTTAATATTATCTCATTAAACGAAGATCTAAGAAAAATATTAAAACACTACAGAAACCTGAAAGACTTCCAATTTCCTAATATCCCTTGCTTCCCACAATTTTATCCTACTCATCAACCTTCTTCCTCATTGCACCAATTACACTTCCCCATCAACAATTTATTACAGGAAAAATGAGTCCAATGTATTCATCTGTAAAATGAAACTCCACACTCCTACCCAAAACGTCTCTCGGAACCAATTAATTCCCACGCAACCTAATTAATTGTGCAACCCTCGAGAAACCGATCTTCCCTGTTGTCCTTTATTGTTTCCGAGCCGCGATGTCGAACTCCCATTTCGCAGGACTTAATAAAAATTCCAAGGAGCACGGCGCTCGAAGGATTCCCGTTTCGCGGCCTCGTTTTCAGGCTGCTCGAGAGTGGAATAATTTTTCCATCGAGACGTCTGTCGCGGCGGATTCTCCGCCGATGATTCACCCCTTCCCGTTCCACGGCCGCGAATGGCCATCGAAAGGAGCCGGACGGTGACAGTGTTCAGGGGGAGGATGTAAAATACGCATCCCCGGCGGCGGAGGGGGTGGTTCTTTGACAGCGACAGCCACAATGGGATTACCCCGGTGCGCGGCCGTCGTTTTCACGATAATAATTTCGATGCGCCGAGTCGATTATAATAAAATTCCGAATACTTCCGGCCGCCGGTGAAAGGAACCGAAGCGTCTTTTCTTTCCGCAAGGACTGGAGACCCGATCGCGATTCCATTTGTCGGCCAATTATCGTGCACGTCACCGCCAGACGCCGATCCTCGTCGGTGTGAAGTCGCAAGTGTACGGAGGGAATTTTATCTCGTCTCTTATTTGTCATTTATTACACTTTTCATTCGTTTCGAGGTCTGAAGCGAAAGTGTGCTGTCGGGCATTTCAACGTGTTAAGGTTAATAATAATGCAATTCAGTCAAATGATTTAATATCGTATTTTTGTCATTTTGTATATTTTACTGTATGAAATCGAGCATTCAACGTGTTAAGGAACTGTTTGTGTTTCTGGTGCGAAGGGTGAAAGTTTGATACGTTTGTACGGCGAGGACAGTCGAAAGAAAGGCGCACGTGAGCGAACTTCGGCCTGAGGGTGCGGTCAAAGGTAAGAGAGGTTCGTTGCGACTGATCCTGCTGGGTGTGGTTCATTGCGTGTAGATTTTTATATTCTCTGTTTCTTCGTTGTGTACTCATTTTTCTTGTATTAGTAGTTGTACATATTATATGATTATTTATATTGATTCATGTCAATTATTGAATTCCAGAAAAGAGGTTACTGTTCGCAAAGTATCTGATTTGTCACTCACAATCTCGCCATCTTCGCCGCCAAAATCCAGCCACAGCAGACGCGCGCCGTCGTCCGCGGACATTTTCAGCTTGTCGAACGATCTTCTCCATAAGGGTGTCGGCGGTGAACCCGGACTCACCCCGTTGCCGCCCACCCCTCTCGTCCCAGCAGCGAACAACGCGAAACCGTCCTCGTGGTTCACGACCAGTTGGCAGGCTTTGCCTTGCCACGTGCATCCTGCAAGTAGAAAAGGAAGAACATTGAAAATTCATCATTTAAAACTCGTGAATCGAATTTCAACCTTTATTCTAAAATTCTACCCTTATTTCATCCTCTATATTTATCATTACTCTAAATCTACAAGCATATTTCCCAAGAAATTTACATCAAACAGTATCAAAACCGCGTCAAACGCATTCGACATCGGAAAATTCCCTTGCTTTTCGATCGCTGCAGCCGATTTCCGCGAGAACAGTGACCCAATTTCGAAAGCTGAAGTTCACCATTCGAATTCCATCATTTGCAGTGAACCAGTAATTCCAACGAGCCTCGACGCACGGCGATATTTCTTCCCGCAGTTTCCCGTGTCTTCGCGATAGGAAGAGGGGCACGCGTGCGATGATCGATGGCCGCGACGAGAGCGTAGACGCCGGGAAGCCCCGGTTTTCGGCATTAATCTCGATTTATTATTGCCGGGCGTCGTTGCCGCGGCGAAAGGGAATTAAAATTCATCGAAGCGGAGCGCGCCGGAGGACAACGAGAGGAGAGAGCTCCCGGAGCAGCCCACTCCTACGCGTGCCGGAAGATCTATGCGAGCGTGCGGCCCCGCCGTTGTTCTCCCTCGCGCGCGTTATTTCACGTTCGAGCGCGTACGCGGGACACTCCGCCGGTGGAACGAACGATTACGCCACGGGAACAAAATAGGAAAATATTTGTTCGACTTGGCCCCTTCGGCTCCCGTCTCCGCCCGCGCCGCCGGGGGACCAGCGGACAGTTTGATCGATGTCCAGGAATTTCGGGGCGCGATTAATTTGACGCTTTATTTGGCACAGTTCTCTGCCAGCGGAATAATAAAACTAATGAAAATTTCTGCGGCTAGGTGTCCGGCTCTGGTTTTGGCCCGTAATTGAAGAGGTTTTATGCTGCTCGACGTTCCGCCGGTGTTATTATTATACGGGGCGGATTCTCGTTTCGACGCGGCGCAGGGTAATTCTGGGTGAGATGGATTCTGGTCTCGCGCGTATTGTCGGGTGTCTATGTTTGCAATTGTTTTGTTTTGTTTTGTATATGAATCTTGTACTTGTTTCACTGTGATATGTATTTATTTCGTAATTGCGGTTGTTTTTGTCGGGGGTGAATGATGCTCGTGGTGCAGTAGTTTCTTTCGGCTGAGCGATTTCTGTTAGATTTACCCCGTGAAAGAACGAGAGGAACAAGGGGTAAATGAATACTCACGAACAGTATATTCGCGTAACGAGTGAGCGGCCGCGTGGCAGCCGTTGACGATCATTCTGGCCCACGTAGCGAGGTCCCGGCGCGTCTCCGCGCGCAGATGATGCGTCACGACGCCGTCGATCGTGCCTACGCGCACTGCGAATGTTGCTGCGTGCTGCGTCGCGCTGCTACTGCTGCTGCCTGCCTCGTTTTGCCTGGTTGGGGAGGACACCAGTCTGCAATCATTCCAATCGGTGTCTTGAGTAAAGAGAAATCTTCAGTGGAATATTAACACTAGAACTACCGAGCATTTAATACGATTCATATGTAACCTCTATAAAAATTGTGACAATAGATTATTTTCGGTTTCTTTGGTATTAAGAACTACGAAACAAAAATCGAAACCAGTCATTTTGACTGGTACGGTAGTTCTAGTGTTAAGAAACAACGGGAGCATACAATTACATCAGAAACGTGTATCGATATCTACAGAAACCAATGAAAAATCAGTGTTAGAAATTAACAAAAATTTCATTATATAGACATCTAGTTATTTCACAATTGACTTCCTCAGAAGCCAATGCTGATCTACATTTTACTAGAATAAATATCCTGCCTAGTTATCGAAGGATCTTCCCAATTCTTCCTTCCTGCTTAACTACATTAGCCTCCGAGCAACTCAAACCTCAAACACAATTCCTCAAAAACTTCAAACTCAGCAAACCCGAAAAATCCCGAACACTTAATTTACCACGCGGCGACGCGTTCTCAATCAGTCGCTTCAGCTACAATATAAATCCACTGCGGTGGATGCGTCGGTCGATCGAGAGCCCGGAAGAATCATCAATTACCTACGGTACCCCGTGGCGCGAAATTTCCCGCGAAATCCAGGCGTGATCCCGCGGATCATCAAGAGGAACGCGGTCGCCATTTGTACGGCAGCGGCGCGCGCGCGCGCGCGCCCGAGCGAACGCCATTATGTCGGCCCAGCGGCTCGTCGCTTTTTTTTCGCTCCTTTTCGCCGGTGGCCGACGTCGGAGTCGCCGGAGCGGCATTTTTTCAGTGTCTCCCCGAAAAAATCTATAAATCTCGCGGCGTGAGCCCCCGCGCGTACGTCAGGACCATTCGTCAGTGGGCAGATTGCAGCCGGGGCCGCCGGATTTCGCGCCGGGGCTTGAAAAAGTCCGGTCTCGTCGCGCCCCCGACCCCCGCCGCCGACCTCCGCGTCGGTCTCGTTCACGTCCACCGGTCACGGTCGGCTTCGTCCCGGCGCGCAATAAAGCCGCGAGCGATTTTTACGATCGAGGCCGGATCGCATGACGAGGTAATTTACCTTCGAAGAGAATTCTCGGCACGCTGACGCGGTGGATACGTGTCGGGCCGACCCACTTCGGCTCCCACCCACTTCGCCGCGACTTTCTCACACCCCCGCACGGTGTTTCTGTGTGTTTCCCTGAATGCGCTCCGCTAGTGGCTTTCGATGTTTCTGGGTTGTCGAGAGTTCGCGCTCGGGTTTCGCGGCGGTTATGTCGGAGATGTTTAGCGTCGAGCTGACGAGATGGATCTTGGCGGGATGCAGATTTCCTCGGAAAGCATCGTTTAATCTAATGGTCCGGGACATTTTCGAATACATTACAGGTAATAAGCTGTTGCGTCTTTTGAGTGCTGTTCGGATTGGACTGTGGGCTTCGTATGTTGTGTAATTAGATTTTAGTTATAGATATATGGGAATATAGACATCGTTAAGATCTGCTTGTTTAAATAGTAACATTTAATAGTATGAAAGATGTAAAAATATTCAATGTTAATATTATCATCGTTTCAATAAGGGTTTCAACAATATTGGTTAAGCTACCGTTAAAATGGAACGAAGGATGCAGCATGTCAAACACGGTGTGAATGTCAAGTAAACCTGACGGGCAAGTGTTTCGCAGACACCCGTTATAGCGGGACACCGTGGTGCGCGTCGAATAACGTATGAGCTCCTGCGGGTGCAATCCCGGGCTCGAGCGTTCCCGGTGGATCCCGTTCGACGGATTCTCCGTGGCTCGGAACGTTTTCCACTTCTGATAGTCGATGTCTCGAAACGGGAAAGTTTCCGCGTCGCGAGGGGAACGCCGATTGCGCGCGGACTTCGTGAGGGAATTACGGGAGCGGCGAATGCATTAAGACTCCCGCGTCGCGATGGATCCAACGGGCTGAGAATAGTAATGATCCCAGCGATTGTGCGTTGAAGGCTCGGACGGTGTCTTCCTCGGGATATAATCCACCAAACCGGTTTTGCTTCGAAAGAATAGCTATTTCCAACACACATCTCCGTAGAGCGATATCCTACAACTGCCTACATCGAAATTTTTAGCTACAGTAACTTTAAGAAGCCTGGAAATTTGCTACAAGTCGTCTTCCACAAAGTAGAATTCACAGTCTCGGCTTTCAAACGGTTTGAAAGATGTTTGCAACCGTCGAGGAAGGATCAAACAATATTTCAGAATGTTGAAGAATGAAGAATGACTGTCTTAAATCTCCGGAAATCCTCGAAGCGCCGGCAAAAAGATCCACGAGACTCTACAGCGCCGTATATCCAAGATCTTCCCAAAAACCGAAGAAAAATACACCGTCGCCGGCAACCAACACCAAATTCAAGAGCCCCTGTATAAACAACGATCGGCAAAATCCTCGAATAAAGATGCTCCCGTGGATTCCCGGGGATCGACAATTTCCCGCGTTGTCCATCGATAATCGAGCGTCGACACTCGACCTCGAGGATAACGGTAAGAAGGACGAAAGAGGGACGGGGGAAAAAAACGGACGAAGGAGGAGAGAAATAAACGAGTGCGGCGAAAAGCCACGGGGGCGAAAGAGAAATATACAACTGCAGAGAGAAAAAGGGGGTCGGC